ACTTATGGACTTGTCCGGTGTGCAGTTAGGATAATCTGTCGATTAACTAAATAAGTTATTGACTACATCCTTGCGGTGGTGGACGTCAACGAACTTGGGTGCGGCTAATGCAGTCTTGGGAAACTGTATTTGCTGGGATAGGTGGACATATCTGCGATACTGTCTGTTGTTAGCGATAGTATCACAGGTCAGTCACTTACCCGACAATCGTTCAGATTTAATAGATTTGATAGTATCATTTGACAAAGCATTACGTTTGGAGGCAAACAAAGAAGATATAGAACAATTGGTTAAAAAAGACACAGAAGACATAGAATACGATAGCAGAAGAGAAAACAACTAGATGAGGAAAGGGACAACATTTAGGTTTAGACGACGGATCAACATCAAGGCACAAGGGGTTACCCATAAGTGGCTCCGTTCTACTTCTAACTCAAGCCTGAGTCCGACGAACTCCGTAACACTGGCGAGGACTCTGAAATACTTTAGGGAGATTTTAAACTCTAAAATTTGCCCGGGCAGCGCCGTAAGGCTACTATTTTCGAGTTCCATCTGCCAAGAAATCTTTTTACGTGCGCAACAATACAACGGAAATCCTATCTTACTATCCAGAGACCAGGGCAAATTACTAGAAGTCCATGTGAAAAACTCCCAGCTTTCACCAGGGTCTGAACCCGATACCTCCAGCACTCGAGGCGACGAGCTTCCGAGGAAAGGTATACGTTAGGTAAAAAAAAAAAGGGGGGTGGGGGGGGGGGGGGGGGGCAGCTCGACTGCAGCAAAAAAGGAAAAATGTCAACAGCTAACATTTAAAAAAATGCTGTGTTACTGTGAAGAGTTAAAGTCTGTGACTACAAAGTGGTATCCGAACAAAGCAGAAATAAACAGTGTGTCTACGTTGAAAACAAATGTCGGACTTACTTGAGAAACATTCTGGACAACTACAAAACAAGCGAAGATTGCTGAAAGATGAGGTGTGGCCATTGTACTCTTATGTGGATGTCGAAAGCAAGGGGAGACTATTACATAATATATCACTGTGGAGGAATACCCTATCGGAAAAACGAGGAAAACCATACAATTAACTATGCCCTAAGTTAGTTACGTCCCCTTTACAGGACGTTAGACTACCCACGGCCTTCTCTATTTATAGACAAAACAAGTCAACGTCCCCTTTGCAGGACGTCATAGAACCAATCCTAGCATTATTTGGCTGTTGTCGTTGTTTTAGGCAAATTTACGTCCAGTAGTTTACCATTGCTACTGGAGGTCGGCTTCACGATACCACTGTCGAAATCAACGCAAGGCGCAAGGCCCGCTGCTGGGATCAAACCCGGTATACCGGCATTGCGAAGCTCGTTCGCAACGAATAAGCCACAGATGCCGACCAACTTTGCCACAGGCAGCCTCATATCCAGAAAGCTGGGGTAATCTATCCAGAAAGCTGGGGTAATCTATCAAGAAAGCTGGGGTAATCTATCTAGAAAGCTGGGGTAATCTATCCAGAAAGCTGGGGTAATCTATCTAGAAAGCTGGGGTAATCTATCCAGAAAGCTGGGGTAATCTATCCAGAAAGCTGGGGTAATCTATCCAGAAAGCTGGGGTAATCTATCCAGAATGTGGTAATCTATCCAGAAAGCTGGGGTAATCTATCCAGAAAGCTGGGGTAATCTATCCAGAAAGCTGGGGTAATCTATCCAGAAAGCTGGGGTAATCTATCCAGAAAGCTGCGGTAATCTATCCAGAAAGCTGGGGTAATCTATCAAGAAAGCTGGGGTAATCTATCCAGAAAGCTGGGGTAATCTATCCAGAAAGCTGGGGTAATCTATCCAGAAAGCTGGGGTGATCTATCCAGAAAGCTGGGGTAATCTATCCAGAAAGCTGGGGTAATCTGGTGTTATACACCCTGGTGGCCTAGAAGTGATAAAGGGTACATTTTCCGCAAATCAAGACAGAGACCGACCTTAGCTAATGCGGATGATTCAAGACGCTAAAGGTGCATTGGCTATGGAAGCACGTAGGGCTCTTTGACGAGAGTGACATTCTGGAAAGAACCTGTTGAATGATGATGATGACTACATGTACGTCGCTGGGGATTACCTCCTGAAGCAACTGAAATAGTTAGATTGAAACATCGTAGAATACTTAATTACACTATGTAGATGCAGATGCATCTTACCTGTGGCTACATACGGATGTGAGTCGTGGACTATCTCTCAGTCCTTAAGAAAGAGAATGGAGGCTTGTGAGCTGAAATGCTATAGAAAGATTCTCAGTATATCTTGGACAAAGAAGATGAGAAATATTGACATCTTAAAATATCTGAACATCAAGGGAAATTGGCTAATAAACAGCATCCTTTCTCGAAAGCTGAAATATTTTGGTCATATAAAGCGGCAGACGGATTGAAAAAAAAAAAAATAAAGCAGAAGGCATGGTACCAGGAAGGAGGAGTAGGGGCCGACCGACCGACACGAAGATGGGCACATGATTGAAGTGACTCCTTGAGTTTGAAAGTGCATGAGGCGGGAGAACTGGCGAGAAACCGAATTTCTTTCAGGCAGACCGTGATGAGAGCGACGTTCTGCAAAGGACCTGCTACATTATGATGATGATGAGATGCAGATAAAGAGCTGAAGAGCCTTTTTGTGTCTTCTGTAACTTTAGCACCGCTCAGTACATTACTTTATGTTTATCATATCGAAGATGTGATTTTCATTACTCAGGTTGCCATTACTTCACAGAACATTTCCTGATACTCACCTTGGGCTAGGCCTACCGAAAAATCCTTGCATGATTATAATTACCCCGTGCGGGTTTAACCCGATACCTTTGAGTCGGCAGGGAAGCGTCGAGCTACTACGTTACCGAAGCTCACAAAGTAGATATTTATTTTTAAAGAATAAACTAATTTTTCTGTTTGAATGCAAAGAAGAGTAGATTACAGGTAACCTAAACGATCTGAACATCAAGGAAGATTGACTAGTAAACAGAATCTTTTCTGGGAAAATGAAATATTTTGGCTCTGTCAAGTACCGAGGGGAATCGGGGAAAATGATAGCATAAGACATGGTGCCAGGAAAGAGAGGCAGGGGCCCACCAAACTGGCACAAGGAATATAAGTCACACCTTGGGTAACAGAGTTCACGAGACAGTAGAGCTGACGAGAGACCTCCTATATCAGTGTTTCCCAAACTTGTCTTAGTCGCGGTGCCTAATTTCAAATACAATGTTTCCACGGCGCCCAAACCTAGGTAAAATTGTGACTTTTCGTATGTAAGAAATTAAAAATTAAAAAAACAAAAACTCTTTTATCTTAGAATATTTCGCGGCGCTCCTGTGAAGAGGTCGCGGCTCCCCGGGGAGCCGCGGCGCACTGTTTAAGAATCACTGTCCTGTATAATGATAGCTTCCAGGTTGCACCAGCCTTAAATAGGTACAAGAAAACGACCGACTGTGTTCCACTTGGTCTATAAAAGTATAGTTTTAACACCAAATACCAGGCGAGAGTTTAGCCGCTACACCACTAGGCTCCCGTAATGAAACAAGGCCTGCGCTATTTGACCTCCAACCCCACCCCCGTGTTTTCTTGATGGGAGCGCCTGATACCTAGTATGTAGATAGTGAAGACCCTTCTTCCAACATGAAACTCTTTACCTCCAGACACGATGCCCTACACGCGGTGGCGTAGCAGGGGCAGGGGGAACCCGGTGCGGAAAAATCCTTGAACCCCAACACTCACACACCATGGCCAAACAAGTTTGGCCATGCACACACACACAAAACACAGACATACACAAACACATAGGCACACATATACATGTTTACGTTACAAAACACATAAATTTGCATTCTGTCACTCCCTCAGTGATGACACCCAGTGCGGCCTGCACCCCACCCCCCCCCCCCTCAACCCCCTCCACCTCCTTTCCCATCACCCTACGCCTCTGCCTACACTATACAAACAAGCTGAAATTATAGGCATTAAAGTGTACTTAGTGTTCTCAGCAGTGAAACTTTTTCAACCTTTTTGCACCAGAAGAAACTAAATAACTTTCATAATACTATACCTAAGAAGAATACCTGGCACTAAGTGGTAGGACAAGATTTTAAAAAAGCTGAAGTGCCGGAAAGAGTATGTATTACAACAGTCTTCTCAATGCTCAGTCTACGAAGGCTTAGGTGGCTAGGTCACACCTGGAGAATGGAGGATGGCAAACTCCCTAAGGAGATCCTCTACGGCTGTGGTTTTCAACCTTCCTATTTCCGCGACCCTTTAATACAATTCCTCATGTCGACGCGACCCTTTAATACAGTTCCTTATCTTGTGGCGACCCCCAGCCATACAGTTATTTTCATTGCTACTTTATAACTTCAATCAGTATGTGTTTTCCGATGGTCCTAATCGACCCTTGTGAAAGGGGTAGTTCGACCCACGAAAGGGACGCGACCCACAGGTAGAGAACCGCTGCTCTATGGTGAATTATAGATGGGTAGAAAATGTAGAGGCCAACTTCTACTGCAATATAAAGATGTGTGCAAACGGGACATGAATGATACATGTATTGAAGTGGACTCCTGGGAACAAAATGCCATGGCCCGTGTCACGTGTTGGGGGCACATAAGGAAGGGAGCAAGAATGAAGGAAGAAAATATTGCAAAAGGGATGAGATCTGGGCGTCTGAGAAGAAACATACTGACAACAGAGGCCCCGAAATCCCATACTATAATTGTGAAAGACTTTTCTAAACGCCGGCGGGTCTTGCTAGTCACACTCGCTATGGGCCATGAGTCTCATGCCTCCTCAAGAGCGAAAAATAACGCTGTCGTCTGGAAAGACAGAAAGGTGCTAGTCAAAGTGTACTTATTAAGTTATTCCTCACAAAACTAAACATGTGTACCATCTTACGGAGGTTTTGCAGCCGGGTCTGATGAACGGAATTTCAGCGTTCTTTCACCCTGGCCAGCCGCAGAACTCTCTATGATGACAATTTACTCACCCTGAAACGTCATCTTGGAAAAGGCAATCCAACCTACATGCCTGGTGAAGAAGAAGTAATAGCCTGTGAGCAATAGCATCATGTACACTGGGTAATGTAGGAGAGCCTTGAGTCTGAGGATCATTGCTGGACTCAGGTGGGACTTCTGTTGAGAAATATTAGAAAGGTATTGTTAAGTAGCGGTTGAAGTCAGTATTCAGACAGACAGACAGACAGACAGACAGACAGACAGACAGACAGACAGACAGACAGACAGACAGACAGACAGACAGACAGACAGACAGACAGACAGGGACAAGCCTAACCTTTGAATCCTCCGTAATTTTCAAAAATTTACCCCTCCATATGAATGTTGACATGTAAAATGTAAAGTGTGCGTTCCTTGGGTCCATTATTTGAGAGGGAAGGGGGGGGGGGGTCCAGGTGGAAAAAGATTTAATAATAGTCTACTATTATAACAGATTTGATTGGCAGTGGGACTATTGATTCCGCACTCAAATCACAACCCCGGAACCCACACGCCGGGATGTATGCATTGAACAGTGTGTTGTGGAATGAGGACCAGCTGTCTGCTTTCTACAAAGGCGATTCCCACCCAGTGCTACGCGAAGCTTCAGTGCCAAAACATAAACATTAAATAAAATCTTCTTCTTCTTCTTCTTCTTCTTCTTCTTCTTCTTCTTCTTCTTCTTCTTCTTCTTCTTCTTCTTCTTCTTCTTCTTCTTCTTCTTCTTCTTCTTCTTCTTCTTCTTCTTCTTCTTCTTCTTCTTCTTCTTCTTCTTCTTCTTCTTCTTCTTCTTCTTCTTCTTCTTCTTCTTCTTCTTCTTCTTCTTCTTCTTCTTCTTCTTCTTCTTCTTCTTCTTCTCTTCTTCTTTCTTCTTCTCTTCTTCTTCTTCTTCTTCTTCTTCTTCTTCTTCTTCTTCTTCTTCTTCTTCTTCTTCTCTTCTTTCTTCTTCTTCTCTTCTTCTTCTTCTTCTTCTTCTTCTTCTTCTTCTTCTTCTTCTTCTTCTTCTTCTTCTTCTTCTTCTTCTTCTTCTTCTCTTCTTCTTCTTCTTCTTCCTTCTTCTTCTTCTTCTTCTTCTTCTTCTTCGTATTCTTCTTCTTCTTCTTCTTCTTCTTCTTCTTTCTTCTTCTTCTTCTTCTTCTTCTTCTTCTTCTTCTTCTTCTTTCTTCTTCTTCTTCTTCTTCTTCTTCTTCTTCTTCTTCTTCTTCTTCTTCTTCTTCATTCTTCTTCTTCTTCTTCTTTCTCTTCTTCTTCTTCTTCTTCTTCTTCTTCTTCTTCTTCTTCTTCTTCTCTTTTATCTCTTCTTCTTCTTCTTCTTCTTCTTCTTCTTCTTCTTCTTCTTCTTTCTTCTTCTTCTTCTTCTTCTTCTTCTCTTCTTCTTCTTCTTTCTTCTTCTTTCTTCTTCTTCTTCTTCTTCTTCTTCTTCTTCTTCTTCTTCTTCTTCTTCTTCTTCTTATTCTTCTTCTTCTTCTTCTTCCTTCTTCTTCTTCTTCTTCTTCTTCTTCTTCTTCTTCTTCTTCTTCTTTCTTCCTTCTTCTTCTTCTTCTTCTTCTTTCTTATTCTTCTTTCTTCTTCTCTTCTTCTTCCTTCTTCTTCTTTTCTTCTTCTTCTTCTTCTTCTTCTTCTTCTTCTTCTTTCTTCTTCTTCTTCTTCTTTCTTCTTCTTCTTCTTCTTCTCTTCTTCTTCGTCTTTTTCTTCTTCTTCTTTCTTCTTCTTCTTCTTCTTCTTCTTAATTCTTCTTTCTTCTTCTTCTTCTTCTTCTTCTTCTTCTTCTCTTCTTCTTCTGCTCTTCTTCTTCTTCTTCCTTCTTCTTCTTCTTCTTTTTCTTTTTTCTTCTTCTTCTTCTCTCTCTTCTTCTTCTTCTTCTTCTTCTTACTTCTTCTTCTTCTTCTTCTTCTTCTTCTGCTTTCTTCTCTCTCTTACTTCTTCTTCTTTCTTCTTCTTCTTCTTCCTTCCTTCTTCATTCTACTCGCTTCTTCTTCCTGGTTCTTCATTCACTCGCTGTAAGTTCCGGTGGAAAGTCGTGGTGGTTCGTCCATTAGAACTTTAGCTTTGTGTCAGGGCCTGAGTTTTGCACGCACATCCGTTTTACTGGCTTATTTGTGTGCAGTTTGTTGTGTAAGATATCTTCATTGGTGGTAGCTGAGAATAAATTGCCCGCCATGGTAAAATTCAAAGCTAAACAAAAAAAATCTCTGCATGGACATAACATATTTTCCTTAAAATTCTTTTCTTTATACTCCCTCTTTTTCTTTTTGCTCGGTAACATTTCTCCTGAACACCGTGAACCCTGTGAGACATAGAGTACAGCAGATCTAAGGGTCTACACCAAAGATCCTAAAAAAGGGCTCCAGGAGACAACATTTAGGAACCGATGATCTACAAGAAAAAAAGTAAATACTCACCACCCTGACTCCGAAATCAGACTTGCTCAACCTGGAGCCTGCAATTTCCAGTACGCACGTGAAATAGTTAACGACACCCCAGATAATAATTTTTTTACCCGCACCATGCCAGAAAATCATAAACACAAAACACAAGCCTGAAATTAGTAGTTGCCTCAGAACACCCCGTCTCGATCCACCCAAAGGGATAAAAATGCACTTTTTCAAGAAAATATATATTCCTTCATCAAAACTTTTCCATAGGTCAGCACCAGAATATGAGAAATGAATACAGCGAGGTGCAGACACAGGAGCAATGCCGTCAAGTCTAGACAATTGGATGCCGAACCCATAGGTTATAAAATATTTTGTATGAAAATAGCAGCTGTGACAGTAAATGATTCCGTAGAATGTCCAATCTGACACACTTTCTAGCAACTCTTCATCGTAACCGATGCGTGTATAGTACAGAAAATGAGCATGAAGTTCAATAAAAAACATGAAGAAGACGATTTTTATCAACTGCTTTGTGACATCGTAAAAACTTTCTGTTAAAATTAAAGTTTTAAACGAAGACTTTACTTGATTATGGAAATGACAATACTCATAAAATGGACCCCAAAAGAAGGTGGGATAGTAAAACAAATAAAACAATGAGTCTAGAAAAGTAGGATCGCTTTCAACAATATCCATTTCTGCATTGATTTCATTGACGGAGTTCATGGAATGTGTCGATTTATTCTTGCTTGTACCACTGGACGCAAATGTTTGCCCGGATGATTCTCTGTCCGTTTTCTTTGTGTTGGTTTGCTGATCTCTGTATTTTCTCTTCTCCAAACCAAAACTGATGATTTTGATACAGAATGTACTGACGGAGATGTGAAACTGTGTATACATGAGAATATCCTCAAGCAGCAAATATTGTGCCTGTTGGAGAAATAAAGAAATAGGTATATTAAACTCACAAACAACTACAATTATCATCTTTAATATCTGTATGGAATCAGTTTTGCACAGTAACTAGTCGGCTTGCATGAGGTCTTATGTTCCTAACCTCATTTTCTATATTAAAGAATTCAAAACAATGTTGTCCAGTGAAGAATTTAAATAATGCCGTTACCAACAACAACTTTCACAATTTATTGCCCGGAACACTTCGCTGTATCTTGTCAGACGCATTACTACAGAGTTTAATTAACATAAAATGAGGCACACATGTTGAATCGTTTCTATTGAAAAACGCAAATCACATTTTCTTCTCTATTCTCTAGATGTACTGTCGATCTTGACTAAACACGGCAGTTTCTAGTCTACCACATGCTCCTTTTGTTTACATAAAGCATTACTGTTTTTTTATTGTCACAGCTTCCACCAATTAAAAAACTTTTTTGTATAGGATAAAACACATGGAAGGCAGTCTTTATTAATTACATTTCCGGAGTCAAGGAAATGACGAAGAGTTGTTTTCTTTCCTGTTGGTAATTACTTTCTACACCAACTTGCTTCCTCGTCAACTGAGCTAAAATAGATAACTGGAAATGCTTTGAGAAGTAAATGCGACCTCTCTGATGACGAAACACAATGTTAAAATGTTAACCTAGTAAATACTGCTTTATATCTTGTAATGACAAACCTCAAATTTATCTACGAAGTCCAAAAACCTCGAGAACATCAATGCTATAGCCAGTAGCCATATCAGCCGGAGTCTGTCTTGAAGGGAGAGAAGGTACATTATGGTTGCTATGACGAGCAGTATGGTCACTATTCTGATCCCGTACACCGAGCATAAGAAACACAAGCTGGCCATCGTCAACAGTAGTTGGCGTATCTATGGATAAATAAAATGTATCATCTATTACACAGTGGAATTATGTATGTATGTCAATAAATCACGTACCGTCTTAGCATTGGAGGTTGGCTTTGCATCACGCTCTATCTCTTGTCTTGGTTGTACACTCTCGCAAATGCTGTTCGCCCATCTCTTGATGTTGTTCTCCTACATTTAACGTTGAAACCTCTTGCACTCGTTTTCCTCCATTATTGTTTTTTAAAAGCGTATTGTCTTTGAATGTGGCCAAAGCATTTCAAATTTCTCTTTTTAAAAATTCTTTGAATAATTCTTTTTTTATTCTTAGTTTTTCTGAACCTTTGTATTGCAATATTTTTGTTTCTATGAAATACATTGTCTTCCGTACATCCACATTTCCAGAGATTTACTTCGATTTTCTAGTTCCTTCTTCTTTGTCCAGGCTTCTGTACCATACACTATGGTTGAGAATACACGATTCTCATTTTAAATGTGTTGTTAATCTCTCTTGTTGTCAGTAATTTGCGCAACTTAGTGAAGATAGTTTTAGCCATTAAATTTTTTTTTTTTTACTTTCTGTTTTTCCTAACATTATCTCCTAATTTATGTCCAAGATAGGAGAAACGAGCTTTAATATCGCTCGGGTTTGTGTTATGTTCACTCTTGTGGCTCATTTCTACTCTTTATTTCCATAGATTTTAAAAGTAAAAGGTAAAGGTATAGTCGGGAGATGTAAACCGGCGTCATTGCACACGGTTGTAAACCATAAGTGCTTTGCCACCAGTAGAGACAGCTGATTAGAAACTGTCCGCCTGTGTCGCCGTCCGCACGCAACTCCGTAGCTACAGTGACGTACCTCCATTTACCCCATAGTGTTAACTTTAGTACCCATTACACTCAGAGGAAAGGCAAGACGGACATATAACTAGCTTGTGACCAGTACCATCAGTATTGGCACTCTGCGCTGGCTGCTGAAGATGAGGACGGAGCAGGCATGGGAATGCCCCGAGTGCTGTGATGCCAATTCTTGACTCAACTTTAACTGAAAACGTGGGTGGCGGGAAAGGCGAGTGGTGGGTTTATAACTTACCCAGTCTCTTCATAGGAATTCTTTAGTCCGATTTAGGGAGCAGGACAGGGAAAGGACCCCGGGAATGGAAAGGGAGGGGGGGGGGTTGCACTGCGACTTAACGAGCTTGTAGAGGAGAAAGACGACTAATTAAAGTTTACCTGAAATAGGAGGTGCTGGGCCTAAAGGCACATATATTGTAGCGTAATTGCTAAGCTGCAAAACCGCCAGGTAACCGCTCTTCTAAGTGCGAACGCAGAAGAAAAGAAGAAGAAGATGCTGATGAGGATGATGATGAAGATGGACTCACTTGACCGTTCGCTTGACAGAACCTGCAAGCTTGAGATAGCATCACATGAATGACATTCCATGACAGAGCTGTCCAAACAGTGTTCATCCAAATGAACCACCCAAGGTGTGTGTTGTCCTGGAAAAATACATAAATTCTCATCAAGAGCTTCACCTGCTGAATGTCGTAATCTAATAAGACGTTGCCAGAGCAATTACTATGAAAAGATAACTCTTCTTCTTCTTCTTTTTCTCGTTCGTTTCACCGGCTGTAAATAGTGGAAACGCTGATTGTTTGTCCACTCCCAGACTTCTATCTTGATCCAGATCTTGAGTGTTACGTGCACATCCATTTAATCTGTCTCGCTTATCTGTGTGCTGACTGTTGGTTTATTGCCTCTTCGGAAGATGCAGTTCGACTTTAAATGAAACACTTCTAATTACTTTCCTCCTACGACATGCTTGTTAGGGGAGCAGTTTGTAAATTCTTTGTTTTCAGAAATAGAATCCCGAACCAATACAGGGGGGTTGGGGGGAGATTGGGTGGGGGTGGAAAGGAAAGTGAAACACCATTTCCACGTATCGAAGCCGTGTTGAGGTTATGGGAATAGCTTCCTAGATCAACACACCCATCCATTGTCGTTACCAGAAATCAGAACACTTATCAAGGAAAAATACATGGAATTGTGGAGAGAACAAACTAACCTCATAGCAAGACAACATCAGCAGTCTCAACAGACTGTAACATACAATTTTCCGTCTATGAAGAAGACACTGCAGATCAACTACCACACGTATAAAATAAGGATTATACAGTCCCCACAGTGTGCCTTCAAACCGGACCACAAACACATGAGCACATTCTACAGACCTGCCCACTCTACCTACAACTTCGAAAAGACACCTGGCCTCAAGAGCAAAGTGTGCAGAGCAAGCTATGGGGAACCACGAAGGGCCTGCTACTGACATGCGAGCTCATAGAGGCAACCCACCTGATGGTCTGATCTTAGCATATGAAACTGAAAGCAAAGAAGAAGAAGAAAAATAAGAGATGAGGGAATTCCCTCCAGACGTTGCTCCATGTGGCCCTAGTAACTCCGCCGGCACTTTTCAATTGCTCTGCGGCAGCTCCAGAACGGAAGATAGCGCAAAGCTCACATAAAGAAGACATAATGCGAATCCTTGGTAAGGTTATCAGCGCTCTCGCCTCCTGAATTTTCCAACCTTAGGTGTCACTTATTCCATGTACCCATCTTCGGACTAACAGGTAAGCGTCCAGCTATTGCGACTTGGCGACATATGTCAGCAGTTTGGGAAATAATAAATACAAAATTACATTTAAAATAAAATAGTACCTTAGGTCTTCCAATCCAGCTCCAGCCAGTGAGCAAGCCGTCGTCCAGATATCTGTCTTTATGTCCTAGAGAATGGTAGAACAGAATAATATTATTTTAAAAAGGACACGAGTTAAGATACATTATTGCAATACTAAGAAAAGTCGTCCGGATGTGACATGCAATTCTTTGTTATTTGAAGCCCCACCCTGGGTTCTGCCGGGGGCCCTCAATACAGCCGGGCCATAAATATGGCCTAGGCCATAGATTAGCCTGACGACTGAGAGGAGTTTCTGTGACCTCTCCACGGGTGGTCCTCATCCACATGGTGGCACTTTGTGTCATCGAGTTTATATCGCTTGTGTGATGTCATTGTGGGGTACAACTACCTACCTACCTTTAGACACAACAGTGGCCCCTCAAATTTTTATAGTAAAGTAGTGTCTTATTCTGTTATCAACTGCGACTTCGTCTTTCTTTCTTTCTTTTGTCGAACTGTTTATGTCGTAAAGAGTAGCAGAAAGGAATTATAGTTCGTTCCAGCAGTAAAACTTCAAAAATCTGTACTTAGGTTGGTATTAACAACGGATCAACATCATGGCACAAGGGTAGTAACATATAAGTGCTCCGTTCTACTTATAACTCAAGCCTAAGTCCGAAGAATCTCAGCTCAGTGCATGAACTCTGAGACCCTGTCAAAGCATTTGTTTCGCTATACGGAGCCGATCCTAGTTGTGCCGCGATTCGTTCGTCGCCGGAAGTTCGCATATTTTTAATTGGGCTGAGCCCAGTAAGGATATTTTTGGCGCCATAGATAATGACAGGGTAGTTCGGAGGAGAATCCCCCCCCCCCCCCCCCCCCCCCCCCAAAAAAAAAAAGTATGGCTCCGCCAGGAAGTGAACCCACGAACTTCCGATCCGCACACTAGAGAATAGCCGCTACGCCATGGTGACACTTATGCTTAGGGTAACTTGAGTAAACTAAGTGAGGAGAACTTTTCAAAACATCAAATTGCACTCGTTTCATGGCCGCTTCATTCTCGAGTGGTCGCCTTCAACAGTTGCCTCCCGTGAGTTGTTAGATGCACACAATTTTTATTGTAAGCCGTATAGGCTACCAAAATAGTCTCAAAGCGTCTTTGCACATGTAAACTGATTTCTACACAATCTTCACGCATGTATCAATTACTTTGTGTTCTGTTTTTAAGAGTACACAAAATATTGGTCAAACAAACATCAAATAAATTCGCTGCATTAAGAAAATAGCAGCAATTGTAAATTATGAAATCATAAGGACAGGAAAAATCTAAAGGCTATATTCAAAATTCGTTCTGATTTGTGCAGGAGTTTTCGAGATGTGTGTTGAAGTGTGAGGGCACTAGTTTTTACGCACTGTAAATACAGTTTACAGTCTTTTGCTAGTTGCATCATCATCATCATGTAGCTCTCATCACGGTCTCCTGAAAGAAACTCAGTCGTCGGCTCTCCCGCTTCATGTACTTTCATTCTCAATGAGACACTATATCCTGTGCCTATCTTTGTGTTGGTCGGCCCCGCCTCTCAATCCTGGTATCCTGTTCTTTGTCCAAGATATTCTGAGAATCTTTCTATAGCATTTCAGCTCAAAAGCTCTTTCTTAAGGACTGGGAGATAGTCCAAGACTCACATCCGTATGTTGCTAGAGGGAAGATGCATGTTCTCAAAATTATAGTTTTGATTTCCTTGCTGGTGCTTAACCATAGACTTTTAATGATGTTTAATGCATTGAACATTAGATGTATACCTGTTGTTAATATCATACTGCCTTTCTGTGGCGTCTTTGTTACTCATTCCACACATTTCTTTCTACGTCGCCTCTTGCCTCGTATCCTGCTATTCTCATGGAGTACGCCCTAACTTCTAGCTGAGTTTGTTCCCTTCTGACAAAAATATCAAACCTTTTGATTCTTTGATGGTCCATGAAATTGTAGTAAGATCAGACGCCTGTGTGTATTGATGAGCACGTAAACAAATAAATCCTTTGGTAGTTGGAAAACATCCTATCTAAAATTATGAGTCTTGTCAGAACATATTCTATGCATACTAGGGCCAACTTTTATCTTTTTACATATTTATTTTTATTCATTCAAAATCTTTCCCCTGTATTATTACATTTATTTGCCATTGCTAAGTTATTAATTATTATTATTACCCCCTTAAAGAAGGCTTAGATCCGTTAATCCACTTTCTGTAGAAAATTTCTGATTTTTTAAGTTATATTTTTTTTTGTATAAATTGTGTATGCGTTTCTGATGTATTTTTTGTAAGCCCCCCCCCCCCCCCCCCACCCCCCCCACCCCCCCCCCCCCCCCCACCCATGTTTCCGTCTTCTTAATAACAGCGCCAATGATGCTCCATTGTGGCAAGGTATGGTCCAGCAATGAAAGCTTATCCTCCCCCCTCTCTCTCTCACACACACACACACACACTCTCTCTCTCTCTCTCTCTCTCTCTCTCGGCCTCACTTTCGTCACCGTTTATACTTTACGGTGTCTAGCTAAAGTTTAAACAGCGGGAAAGTGGCCTTCCCTCTACTATGTATTTGGTGGTTTCCGTTTTTCATTATACCAACACAGGCGTTTAGCTAGTCTAGTCACATGACAAAACTAAGATAAATTAAGAAACCTAAAAGAGAACGTACTTTCTCAGTGAAACAAAATAGCACTTACTTTCTCCTTCTTGAAACACACTAAAAACACAGTAGGCGAGGCTCGACAAACTGCAGACCCAGTAAGTATATCTTTCCCAACGCGGCAAAACATCGACAAACATCTTTGAAAGAAAAACAGAACTTCCCTTAGCATCATAACAAACTGTTAATGTACTGTAGTGCAAGCATGTCGATTGAAACAAGTCATGGAAAAGACTTCTTTTATTAAATAAATTGAGATGTAGAGCTACAGATAGTTCCGCCTCCTGCTAGAATGCAACAGGAATAGTTACCTATACAACATAACACACTAAGCTATGAGTCAAGTTCAACCCCACTAGGACTGCATAACGAGCGTTAAACACCCGGTGACACAAGGTGCCACCATTCGGATGAGAATCACCCGGGCACAAGTCCCAGAAATCCCGTTCAACCGTTATTTATATTGGAGTAACCGACGGCACTTGGATTGGGCTTTAAAATAACAAAAACAAAAACAAAAAACATTAGTTGGGGAATATACACTAAACTACAGATTACTTTCTAACGACTTTGTTATGTCCCAATATAACTGTACTATGTGCTACACGGTTAATGGAGATTCCGGGATTTGTGGCTGATTTTCTATATGAATTCTATAGAACGCAAATCTGGAGGGGCAAAAATACAAAATTCAGACGCTACTAACAAGAAAAAGATTTTAAAAAACATTGACATTCTCACACTAAATGGCATTAGCCTGCATTGCACATCAAATGCTTTACCACTAATTATTAGCTGCACGAAGCTTTAACAGAAGTGAAAGACGACGAAGATGAAGGCAAGCGATACAAGGCAACTTACAACAGATAAGTAGTTGCAAAATATTATTGACGTCTAAAGAGATCAACTACGCAAGAAAACTGAAATGATGGTCAAATGTTAAAGATACGCAACCTTGTTATGTGGTGCAGAAAAACTGGCAACGAACACATTGAGTTGAGTTGAGTCAAGAATTTACATCACAACACTCGGGGTATTCCAATGCATGCTCCGTCCTCATTTTCAGCAGCCAGCGCAGAGTTCCAATACTGATGGTACCGGTCACAATCTGGTTATGTGTGCGTCTTGCCTTACCTCTTAGTGTAGTAAGCCGGCCATACCCTCTGATTACACCCAGATGCCTCATTCTCTCCAGGCTATGATAATCTTCTATCTCTACTGATTCCGTTGCTTGTTCCCAAAGGGCCTTGACCACATCTGCCTTGCCATGTATCAATTCACCACCCAGTATGCAGATCCAGCCAATCTTACTGCCTATTCATTACCCACCACGCCAGCATAGCCTGAAGAAAAGATCCAAAGTATGCTCACTACCCGTGACCTTTCAAGTGAAGCTTGCCACTCTCGACGACGAACAAGATATTAGAAAGTAGCAGTGTTGATTTGGAGATATGCATGTACATGGAAAGTCCTCTCTGAAGCCTCATGTGCCACTAGGCATAACGAGAACTGATGATGATGATGTACAGAAAAAAAATCGTAGCATTTCGTGGAAGTAGTCACATAGTCACATATTTCGCTGTAACTAATCAGATGCTACATTGAGAACTGATTAAAATGAAACCCATACATGCGTTCGTCTATCTGAAACATAAATTCGACTACACTCAAAAGTAACTACCTGTTTCACCAGGACAAACGCAGGTTCATGACCATTTCCTTTTGTATGCACAATTGTGAATTGATATTTTTATTATCGTGCAGCATTTTGAAGTTGCTTGAGGTATACAGGATTGGAAATGTATCGTCCTTGTTTACAGCGTGACTAGAATTCAGCCATATGAAACGCCACGTGGGGTAAGCAAGGACAGTACTAGATGACATGGTGGCTAACAGAAGAGCCATGGTTTGACCAGTAAGACTATGGAAAAGAGTCCGGACGTGATTAGGCATGAGACAGAGAAGCTGGCTGGACTAAAAGCTTCTCCAGCAGGTCGGGCTGGTATACGTTATTTGCAAGAGAATTGTCCCCCCCCCCCCTCCCCCAACGACGTAGAGGCTTTCTCTTTTCAAGTATTAGTTTTTATATTTTATATTTTTCAAAATATTCTAGGTATTTGGCATTCGACAGATAATAATAATAATAATAATAATAATAATAATAATAATAATAATAATAATAGATGTCTTTATTGGTATTATTATTGCACACTTAAACAAGTCTTAATCCTTGATAACGCCCCCCCCCCTTCCAGAATTATAGGAGGCGACCCTATAAATGTGAGGCTCATCAATGGGCCTGAGCCTCAAATGCCGATGCCTTCGACAATTATTAAACTTTTTTCTGAGCGTTTACCAGCCGTTAACTCTGGCTTTTCGTTTCTGGTTGTTCGTCCACTAATGGACTTTGGTCTTGATCCAGAAATTGAGTTCTGCTTACACATCCATTTCACAGATATGGTTTATTTGTATTTAAACTGTTGATTCCTTGCCTCTCAGGCAGATGCACTCCTACTTTGAAGTAAACATCCCTAATAAGTTGCCTTTTCGCTATGCTTGTTATAGGGAAAAGGGGGGGGGGGGGTCTGTGGGTTTGTTTTATGTTTTCCAAAATGGAACAGCGAAACGTTCACGGATCTGTCTGGTCTCACCTAGAGTTTACGTTGGTTTATCTCGCACAGACACGAAGATTCAACAACATTATGCTCTTTATTCAATAGCTGAACTGACATCTGACAATGGGGATGAATGCTTATGATGGGGATAATGGTGATGGGGATGCTGAATGATGGGGATGATGATGATGGGGATGGGGATGATGATGATTATGGGAATGATGATGGGAATGATGATGATGGGGATGATGATGATGATGATGATGGGGATGATGATGATGTGGATGATGATGATGTGAATGATGATGATGGGTTAACGATGAAGGTGATGGGTTAATGATGATGGGGATGATGATGATGGGGATGATGATATTGGGGATGATGATGATGGTGATGATAATGATAGGGATGACAATAATGATGATGATAATGATGATAATGATGATGACGATGATGATTTTGATAATAATATTGATTCATATTGATAATGGTGATGGTGATCATCATGACAAAGATTATGAACAAAATGATGATTTTGATGATAATGACAAAGATGATCATAGTGTTGATGAAGCGGCTATCCCTCACCTTCGCATGTACCCCCCAGCTGCCTCTTAACGTAGAATCAACGTACACGTTAAAATGAGCAAGTGAGTATGGACACGAAACAGTGGGAAAAACTCAATGCACTGTCTTCTCCAGTGGCTTTAACATGCAGTCTAAACTATAAAACAATAAAGTGAACCTAAATCCACATACCTCATCGTCATTAGAAAATCAATGGCACGATACTGCATAAACAGTGTCTTGTACTTACATATCACGCAGTACACACATCAAATTAAAAAAAAAAGTAATGGACCCTTTTCTAGGCCTTTAGGCGTATAGGGCATATAGGACTAGATCTATATTTTATAGACCAACGGAACAAGATGGGCGATGTGGTCAGCATCACGCCGGCCGCCTCTACTTCCCGGGAATGTAACCGGTACCCACTCAAGGCTGGGTCGACCCGGGAGCCAAGGTCATTTTTGAAGAAAAGTTCGGCTTCGCCAGGGAGCGAACCCACGACCTTCCAATCCGCAGCGCGCGTTTAGCCGCTCTGCCACGGCGACTCCCCACACAATAAATACTTACTGATGAACTAAAACGAATATATGCACATACACGTATATAAATATTGTTTAATGACAAATTGACACTGAGAAACGACGTGATTACATGAACTGTTGGAATAACACCCATCATCTAATTTATTGAGAAACAAAGAATGAAATGGTTTGGCCATGTAATGAGAATGAAACCAGCGATGCCAGCAGCAAGAATGTACAACCTGAAAATCAAAACATCAAGAGGTAGGGGAAGACCAAGAAAAATATGGATTGAAGGAGTCACTGAAACCTTGAGATTGCCTAACATCATGACATATCAAGCGACTGAGTGCCACTATAACTCGGCTGCCAATCGTCTGATGAACTGCGGCGCCGAGCGACTTAAGCAGACATTGACAAAAGAAGAAGAATAATCGACATTACAGCACTGGGAGACATTCTCATAAGCGCTCCGTCCCCATCTTCAGCAGCAAGCGCAGAGTTCCAATTTCAGTGGTACAAGTGTCAGTCTCATTGTATATCCCTTTTACCATTTCCTTGAGTGCTGATCGTCGACCAGATCACTGGATCTCTCTTTGCTGTACCGTTCTCTTCAGAGCACGATGATCCATCTGTAATACCGCACTGCTCACTCGCCCCCCATAGGACCCTTACTTACATCATGCAGCTTGTCATGCATCAATTCACCAAGTCTATCTGCCTGTTCATTTCCTAATACACTGGCAAATCCTGGGGGAAAATGCAAAGGTCGCTAACTATCTGGGACCTCTGAAGCGATGCTTGCCACCCTTCACGGAACATACCGTTACCCACCTTTCTCAGCATGCTCTCTGAGTCGGTTACATTCCGACATGTGTGTACAGCTGATTCTTAAACCAGCGAAAGGCTGTCGTGACTGCCTCCACCTCCATTCTCAAACTAGATGTTGTTGTGTCGTATAAGCAGGGATTTGTTGCACTACGTGACGTCCATTCACTTTTTTTGCTAGGAACACCCCTTGAACTTCGCCTGCATCTCAACATAAAGCCATCTGCATAGATTATCAAATAACCTGTCATGAATCACTTCTGTTTCTGCCGCGTTATTCTGGTACATAAAGTGAGATAGAGAAAAATATCCATCATCATCATCATCATCATCATCATCATCATCATCATCATCATCATCATCAAGTGCCTTGCCGACTGGCATGGGCGATTATGCCTCTCCACAATCTGCGAAAAAGAAATATATAATAGATATAAATATACATTCTGATATATAAATAGAGAAACAGCAGCCCTGTAATAATAGGGCCTTTTCTTACCAAAAGGTAAATTCGACACTTCGTGGGCACCTTTTGATGCATTTCCACTTCTGTTCTCTATCTTTGGAATGCCTCTCATCGTCAGGAGAGTAAAAGATCTATGGAAC